GGGTAGGGAGCTTCGGGCGGTTCAAAATACAGAATGAAAAAACAGAAAATAAAATTAAACATCCACGAGTTGCTGTCCCGCGGCCCGGGGTGTGACCGTCCCTGCCCTCGGGGATGGAGGTGCCTGAGCTTTGTCACTGCGCTCGGTGGGCTGATGGTGCGGTGGTACTGGGAAACAGCCGAAAATAAAATGGAAAAGGAACGGTGCGTGTTTGCCTGGGAGGTAAAAACAGTAAGTTTCAGTGTGGTTTTTGATACAGTAAACTTTTGACTGGTTTTCAGAGTAATTGATTTTTTTTTATGTGTGTGCTCGTTGGCTGGTGCATTTGAAATACTTAAGCTTATACATTGTTATCTTTCAGTGAGACTTCTATTTAAATAAATTCCGCATTGTTTTGAGGGTTTGCCGTGTTGGTGATGAAGGGCAGCACGATAAAATAGTCTAAAAACTGGTACTCTATTATGAGTAATGTACAGTGATTTTAAAACTCTCATCTTTCAGCTAAGGCTATGTAATACAGGGGTTTGCTGTTAAAAACCCCAAACTTATGTAGCCTGTTTTTTTTTTTTTAATTTCAAAGAATCATCTGAGGATGACTTGGGGGCCAAGGAATAAAAGTGAAGTGCAGACCATCTGTTTCACCATAGCAGTAATATTTGGCTAAGAGAAAATATGAAATAGTAACTTGCTCAGATGAGCGTCATGTTGTCGGTGTTTAAGCTTCTTCCTCTCCTGTTTACTCCCTGTCTGACTCATTGGACACCATGTGCCTTGAAATTGTTGTGCTGCATTATCCTCGTGTGTGTGAGTGTGTCATAATAGCTGTGTGCAATCCAGGTGGAATCACAGCACAGTGAGCAGCCAGAGCAGCAGTGGGGAGGGAGGGAGGGAGAGCTGCCCCTCCAACTGCAGTGAGAGGGAGCAGAGATCTCCCCATCCCTCTGCATGAGTAACTGAGCTGCAGAGCTTCTAACAGAAAAGATCTCAGTGAAGAGAGAATTCTTTTCCTTGCTACAAAAAAACCTTGTGCTGAAGTTCATGAGGTTCCTGTTGAAGTCCCACTGGTGTTTCAGCCGTTCATCCCAGTTTGGTGGCATCAGCAGACGTGGTGAGGGGACCCTGCCACATCACCCAGGTCATTAATGAAGATATTAAACAAAACTGGACAGTCCTGACCCTGGGGTACACCACGGGGCCTGACCTCCAGCAAACCCAAAGAGCATCAAATTTAAAAAGATTTGAGGTCCTTTGTAGCTAGATTAAATGATGGCCAGGTTGGATATTAAAAAAAAAAAAACACCAGCCTTTTTTTAATGTATTTATTTAAAACAAGGCTTTCAAATTGCTTTTTGTATTTGTTTGCATTTGTACTTGTTCACAAGCTGATACCAGTAAATTTTAACAATTATTTGTAACCATAATACCATGTTCTGATAGGGCTGTGTAACTGTTGCTGGGATCTAGGCGTAAGGTCAAAAAGTTTTGTTTGGCTTAAAACTTATCTTGTTTTTAAAAAAAAATTGCTTGATTTGGGTTTTTTAAAAGTGTATATGTAACACTGAGTCCCAAATTTGGGAAGAAGAGTTGTAGAAGGTTGATTGTTTCTAATAATGTTGTTCCTTTTCACTTTCACCTCTTCTACAGTTATTCTGGTAGCACTGTAAGACAAATGGAATAGTCTGGCTGGGCTGTAATATATGTGCAAGATGCTGTTGGCACTAAATTTGACTTTGAATTGTTAATTCACCTGCAGTTGTACAAGAGCCTGTTCACTTCATTCTTGGGTACCATAAAGCTTGTTCTGAGTCAGCTTTCAGAAATGTTCTACTAGAATGACCTCAGCTTTGTGTGCTCAGTGTGCTATTTTGAGTTTATTTTCACATATTATGGTGCTGCTGGGCAACTAATGTTTTTAACAAGGATTTGGCCCTTATTTTCATGTGTCTTTTTTCTGATTGTAGCAGTACATGGTAATTCCATCACCTCCTGGCCATCCCAATGATGAAATCAGAAGCTAAGGATGGAGAAGAGGAAAGCCTGCAGACAGCATTCAAAAAGCTGAGGGTTGACACAGCTGGGTGAGTAACAACACAGGAAGGGGCAGACATAACATCTTACAAATGGACTCAAAGGGAACACCCTTGCTGTGAAATTTGAGGGAATGAGGTAATTGCAAAAGGTTAGGCACAGAAAGCTTTCATTGTAGTTAAACAGACTGAAATAAATTCACTACCTGCAGACTGCACTTCTTAAGGAATTGTAAATTGTTTGATTGCTGTCAGCTTGCAGCAGGTTTGAAAGAAAACCCACAATCAGGATCAGCTCGCAATGTGCTTGAAATGAATTTTGGCATGAATCTGGCTGCCAAAGGTTACCAGTCCATAGGACTAGAACTCTGCTGTTGAAGTTAGGATATTACCATGGTTCTGAAGGCCTGTCATGAGAATAAAATCACATCTTTTCCCAGGAGAGAAACTTTCTTTCCATGTCAGTAAGGGAGAGCATTAGATTCAGTGCATGATTCCCACACAAACTATTTTCATTGCTGTCAAAAAATTTCTATTAATAACCAGAATCACTAAATGGGAAAGAATGCTTTTTGTGTTGTCTTGGTTTGTGGAGATCTGACACATGGCACTTACCTTCACTGTCCCAGGTGCAGAACACAAGCACCACGTGTCTTCTGTTTGGAATGATAATTTTTACCTGAAATTAAATAAAGGAAGATCTTCCATATAATGTTTTTTTCTGCTGACAAATGTGCACCATTGCATATTACCTGTAGAATCTGGGATCTCATAAGCTGTTGTCAGTGATGCAATTAGGCTGTCACTGAAAGGAAGGGCAGCATCAACATGGTAACTGGAATTAGCACAGAGCTGAGATTGTGAGTAGATGGGCTTCTAAAGTTATCTTTTAAGTAATTAAACTCATTAGTAATGAGTTACCTCTCATTTCTTCAATATCTCTAGTACCATCCTCCAGCTGGGCATATTTGATTACTTTGGAGTTTTTACTGGTGCCTTTTGATCTTTTGTTCTGTATTCATTGTCCTTTAAATGGAAATTAGTTTGATTAATAGTTTGGATTCTCTTAACCCCATCCTAGACCAGTGTGTGGGGACCCATTTTCACTTTTCAGGGAATCTGTCCTGTTTACAAACTGATTTAGCATAGGATTTGGAAAATAATTTTCTTGGGCCGTCCAGTGTAATATGTGAAATCACAACTTGAAAGAATTATTCTGGGATTATTGTGAGCTCTTCAAAATGGGAGTGTGGAATGAATTCATAGCACCAGAAAATTTAGTACATCTACTAAGGCCCCTGCCTTGAATAGAAGCTGAAGGTCTGACACAACTCTGTGGCTCAAATGATTCAACTTGCAGGAGTATGAAGAGTTGTAGCTTATGTTGACAGGCTATGTTAGACAGAGGCTTAAGTGTTCTTCAGCTAAACAAAGTCTATTTATGTCCAAAGAACATTTATTTTTAGGAAAGAATGGCTTATTTGTCTGTGGAAAAAGAGACGTGTTTCTTCAGTGCTGGTGTTTCTGCCTTCCCCTCTCCTGGGAAGCTGAGATTTGGCCATTGTGTGTGTTTGTCACTGACACACAGTGTGTGGGGCTGGCTCTGCAGTGGTGAACGGCATCTCTTGGTCAGAGGGTCTGTTACACAAACCTTGGAGATGGGAGCATGTCAACACTCATCCTTCAGCACTCATCCTTCTGATTTGGGTCTTTGTGGGCAGGTCTTTGGAGATGTATTCTAGATCATTTGGAGCAGTATTTTCTGGGAAAGAAGACGGACAAGGGTTTATTTTCATATTCATAACGCTAACCAGTGTAGGCTGTTAACTCTTTGTTCTGTCTCTCACAGATGTGCCACTTCTCTCTCTGTGGGTGATGGGACAAGTCCCAGAGCAATAGTTAGAACAATGGCAGATGAAACCAAACCGAAGAATGTGTGTGCTTCTAAGGAAACCTGGCATGGGTAAGAGAAGCTTGGCATTATCAGACTATTTCCAATGATACTGCATTGGAAAGGAATATTAAGTAGACAGTTTCTAGTTGGTGCCCCTCTAAACAAGAGACCTGAGTTGTCTTTACCAGAGAACTTTATAAAATACTCACAGCAGCTTTTTGTCTTCATATATGATTGCTGTTCTTCACAGTTATGTGAAGTGAAAGGAAATGCTGGTCACCTGTAGGTGGCTAAACATTGTAGACATTTCTCAATGCAAATGTGAGCTGCTGGTTTTGAATCAGACAATCATGAATGCATCTCTTTTAATCATTGTTTGACACTGCAGAAGCTGTCATTGTGTCTTTGGAACTAGATTAAAATAAAGAATTGGTTTCTAGAGTATCTCTGCAGAGCTTCATGCTCATCTGAAACAAAACCATCCTTTGCCCTTGATTCATTAGTTTTGTGCTCTTTTCTTGTGCTTTGTCCTTCTTTTAGTGATTCTTTTGTCATGTCTCACATGCTTTACGCATTTTCTGGCCTTTAAAGCCCATTCTCTGAGATACATATGGTATTCTTTTATATTGCATACAACTGCTTGTCTAGAACTGAGTCAAATTTCAAGACAGCAGACTATCCTGAGCAAACACTCCAAACCTAAAGCTTGTGCATGCAATATAAATGCAGGAGAAATTTTGCCCAGTGTTACTTATAACCCAACAGTAATTATTTTGGTGAATCTTCATTCCCTTTGTGCCTTTCCCTGGCAGGTCTGTGAAGAAGCCCTCGAGAGGAGTTGTGAGAACCCAGCGCCGCCGGCGTTCCAAATCTCCAATTCTTCACCCTCCCAAGTTTATCCATTGCAGCACAAAATCCCATTCCACATGCAGCCAGCTGGTGCAGAAGAGCCAGGCTGATGGCCAGGAGGACAGCAGTGGGTTTGGGGTGCCAGTCCCAAAGGAAGCCTGTGCACATGAACACTGCAGCGTCACTCCGGACATTGGCCACAAGGGAGCTGAGGAGCCTTTGGGAGTTTCTGCTGCACGGTTGACATCAGAGAACACACAGGAGAACTCTCCAGCTGCAGCTTCTCCAGCATCCAAAACAAGCCTAAAGACTACAGAGCTTTCTGACTTCCAGTCTATGTGCAAGCTGAACACGAGTGAGCTGTGTGCATGTGCAGATAAAGCCTGTCAGTGCAAACTGTGGCAAGATATGGAAGTGTACAAATTCTCTGGCTTGCAGAACACCCTCCCTCTGGCACCTGATAGAACAGTGTGTGAGGATCACTCCCAGCCTTTGCCAGCAAGAACTCCCTCAAGTTCTCCACGCTCTTGCTCTGAGCAAGCCAGGGCCTTTGTGGATGATGTGACAATTGAAGATCTTTCGGGGTACATGGAGTATTACTTATATATTCCAAAGAAAATGTCTCACATGGCAGAAATGATGTACACCTGACAGCAAGGAGCACTAAAACCAGAAGGGTGGCTGGTTCAAATCTGCCCTCAGGCACATCATGTGAATATGCAACCCACTCCCTGCTCACTGTGCTTGCAATAAAAACACTTCTTTGCATCTCAGCTGATGTTGATTATTTAAGCTGGACAGTTTAGTTTCAGCATTATAATTTAAGCTTGGAATAGATAATGTGGTAAATGAAGTTAGAGCATACCTACCCATACTTAAGAGACCCAACACTTAATTCTGCTTTGTTTCCAGAATCCTCTTTTTCTTTGTTGGAGAGGAGTCCCTAGATTGCTTGGTGATTAGAGCTCTTCTTGTGAGACACCTGGTGTCATTGAGCTCCTTTGAAATCACTTTGACCTCAGGTTGTAAGACTCAGGCTTGTGGTTTTGGATGCTTGTGCCTCTGATTTTATTTCATAAGGAGTGTGACCATCTCATACCCTCCCCTAGGTTACTGAAAAAGTGGAAAGCAAACCTTTCACTGCATTTCCAACAGGCCTTAGAGATTTGTGTGCAAGAAAAACATCCTGCATTCTTCAGGGAAGTTGCTGCTGTGGTTAACCAAAGGAAAAGTGAGGGCAAGGGCTCTGCTCACTGTATTTGTTATGGTGAGCAAACCAGAATTTGCTCATGTCAGTGGTCTTAATTCATACACCGTCTGTCACTTTAGGGTTTTTTTTAGCTTCTTTTTTAGTATATTCTATAGGACCCAATATTACCCTTCCTTCAGGCATTAAAACCCATTGACTGGAGTGAACGGTTGTCAGTTTTAGGGGAATCTTGAGCACTCTCTCCACTCCAGTCCTGCTAAACCATCATCACTTTAGCTGCCCTGTCCAGCTTTGCATTCTCCTGGAATTTATGGCTTCAGAAGCAAGCAGCTCTCCATACATAGTGTGCATCAGCACAGTGTCTCTTTTATGAGTGTCCAGCAAAGGAGCATCCCATCAAATAACATAATTTGTTGAGGGTGAGAAAAATTGTTTGGTTTGTCTTTACTGTTTGTGGTACCTCAGCTTTCTGAGGTGTAAGATGTGGAGAAGGAATGGAGACAAACATTTTCCTGCAAAATCATTTGGTGTTTCTCTTGGGGTTTTTTTGCAGTTTCTGTGGCAGCACCTGGTGTCTCAAAAGAAGTGGCCATGTAAGTTTACCTGTTTTGCCAGTTCTGAAGTGTCACCTGCACCATGCAGAATGTACCTGTGTCCCACATCTCCTTCTGTGCTCTGCAGTAGCTGCATTTCTGCCACCTGTGTTCTGAAGTCAAGGCAATTTTTTGGTGACTGTTGTCTACAAAACTGGGCTACAAAGTGCAGAATGACTTTATTTCTCAAATAATTATTCTTAACTGCTCTCAAATGCAAATTCCAACCACAGCACCATCGTGGGGCTGAAAGTGCCTTTCAAGAGTGCACTGCTTTTAGCACTTCATTCATTAGTGACCACAGACCTGTGCTGCAGGGTTTAGGATTGCACTGTCCACTGCTCAGTACTGTGTTAAAGTGGATTGAAATCCAGGAGATGTAAAAATAGTAGAAAAATGTGAGCTGGTGCTGGCTGAGAAGGGATGAGCAGTGCCACTAGAGGTCAGCCCCAGGCTGAGGCTGGCTGCTGCAGCAGGCTCAGTCTTCAGGGAAAATGGGAATTTTTCTGTCAAAACTAAGAAATAAGACCAGCTCTTATTTCCTTGGTGCCTCTTATTTCTGTGTGGTGCCTTTGTGCACACAGACTGTCAGTGCTTTCTGAAGTTTGTGTGAGTGTTGGTGGTCAACAAAAGCTCTTTAAATGCCAAAATCTGCATAAGTTATTAATGTTTAAACAAAGTGTGCAATCAGTTCACAACTGTGCTGTGCAATTAGGAAAAGTTGCTAAGTAAATAATTACATAGTCCTGAACTTGGCATCCTCTTGGGACAGTTACGACATCTTTGGGCTTGTGAGTGCTGGAACACCGTGGAATAGAAGCCCATGAGTTGCTGCAACCGCTGCCTTAACGCTTTCTCTTCTGTTACCACAAGTTGTTTTCAGATGTTTTGGTCTTCACAGAAACCATAAAGCAAAACCTTCTGGTTTTGCTTTGAGAAAATGTGAATTTATGGCCTTTAATCATGTAGCAAGAACCTTGAAAACTTGCCTAAGCAGTCTAAAAACTTAGTTTAAAACAACAAAAAAATTTAACTTGAGCCAATTTCAAAATCTGACCTTTTTTTAAAGAAGACTTTAGAGGGCTGGTTCTGCCAAGCGGCACTTTTGAGTCATGTTGGAATCTGTTACCAAAGAGCTCATTCCTTCCTGTGGCTGAATAAAAGTGAAGCCCTTTGTAATTAACTTTCTAACTTGGTCCTTCTCACCTGTGCCTGCAGGTGTTCTGTGTTTATGTGCTGTCCATACACACTTTCTCTTGCAGCTACATATTGTGTGCTTCCTCTGTGCCTTTTCTTCCTAGAAATGCCAATGTGGAGATTGAAAGTGGAAAAACTGAGTCTGAACTCAGCACTGTCTGTGGCAGCTTTGGTGGGATTTTGGGATCTCCCCTGAAAGGGCTGATAACACCCCACAGCTCCTGCAGCTTCCCAGCTTGGTGGTCAGTAAGGGATGGTGATTTCTCTGAGGTTTTTCTGGGACAGTGTCTTTTTAGGAGTGGGATGGGTGTGCTGGAAGAAGAGAGGGCTTGGATTAGCCTGTTAGCTGGTCTTTCAGTTCTTGTCCTCTGCCATCTGTATTGGATGACATTATTACACGCCAGGTGTCCTGTCACTACTCCCTGTGTCTGCAGCTACCATCTTTTCCACACACAGACTGAATTATGCTGCTGGCTGTTTAACCAAAGGAAATTTGGGGATTTTGTTGTTTGGGAGAGAGGGTTAAATGACTGCTGAACGTCTTTCAGTGCCCTAAAGCAGCTCTGGAAGGTCACTTTGGGAGTAGCAGAGGGGCTGAGCGAGCTGTTGGCTGCACTCGGTGACGGCTGTGCTCTCTGTTCCACCTCTGCCCAGGTACACCCGGTGTGTGTCCCGGCCCCGGGCGCTCCGTCCCCGCATCCCGCGGGGCTCCGGCGGAGCGGGACCGCGGCTGCCGGCCCGGGGGAGCGGCGGCCCCTTCCCAGGCTCTATTTTAAGCAGACATTTACTTTCCCAGCCTCTTCTCCGCCTGGATCCCTGCCCGGGGCGGGGGACGGCGGGGGGGTGGGATATGTCTCTCCCCTCCTTCATAAAAGGGCCCCGAGGCGGGGGCCGGGCTCCAGGGGGGTTATTTTTGGGAGCAGCTCCTGGGATCCGATGGCCTTGTTAGGGCAGCGCTGACCTTTCTCCCGCCGGGGGAGGAGAGCGGGACGGGACGGGGCGGGCGGCGGCCGGGCGGGGGAGAGCGGCGGGCTCGGGACCCCCATCCCTTCTCGGCCGCGGGGATCGGGACCCCCATCCCTGCCTCTAGGCGGGGCGGCTCCCCGGGCGGCCCATGCCCGTGCCCGCGGGGCAGGTACCGGCGCGGAGCCGCTGCCCCTCCGGGAGGACTGGGGCTCGGCCCGCCCTTCTCCCCTCCCTCTCGTCCAATTTCCCTCTCCTGCCGTGCCCCAGCCCCTCGGCCGGGCCAGGCGAGGCAGGAGCGGCCGCTGTCGGCGCCCAGCCCGTTCCCTCCGGGGATGCGGGAGCCCCGGAGCGCTGCCCCTGGGAACGCTGCCCGGCTGAGGGGCACCGCAGGGCACCATGAGCGGCGGCAGGTTTGATTTCGATGATGGAGGCGCCTATTGCGGGGGCTGGGAGGGGGGCAAAGCCCACGGGCACGGCATCTGCACCGGCCCCAAGGGCCAGGGCGAGTACTCGGGCTCCTGGAACTACGGCTTCGAGGTGGTGGGCATCTACACGTGGCCCAGCGGCAACACCTACGAAGGCTACTGGTCCCAAGGCAAGAGGCACGGGCTGGGAATCGAGACCAAAGGACGGTGGGTTTACAGAGGAGAGTGGACCCATGGCTTTAAGGGACGGTACGGCGCCAGGCAGAGCATGAGCAGTGGAGCCAAGTACGAGGGTACATGGAACAATGGCCTGCAGGATGGCTACGGCACCGAGACCTACGCTGACGGAGGTAAGGGTGCTCCAGAGGGAACGGGAGGGGGATGAACAGTGTCACACCCGGACTGGGACAACAGAGGCTGCATGTTGGCTCTGCCGAAGGGCTGACCTGCTCCTGTTCCCGCTAGACAGGCACAGTGTTTTACAATGAGCCATTGGGGTGTCAACAGGGGAGCTTGGGCTGATGCCATCTCATCCATGTGTGCATGCCCTGATTTTCCCAGTGGGCACAGAACGCGCAGCTCACTGTGGAAGTGAGGGAGGAGCAGCAGGAGCTTTTCCCCAAGCTGCCCTTAAGCCTCTGTTTCTGCAGTTAACACCAACCAACTTGATTGTGTGTAGTCTTTGACTCCTGGTTCCACAGGGAATGGTTATTGCAGCTTCTGGCTGAACCAGCCCAGAAATCCCCAGCTGGTGCAGCACAGCAGCGAGTTGTGAATGTTCTCCTGTCGGATATGAGCCACCCACAGCATCCCAGCACGCCTTCCCTGTGCATCAACACTGCCTGCATGCCTCTGATGGGCTGCCTGCGCATCTGCTTTGCCAAAGAGTTTGGATTGAATCTGTCTAAGCTGTTTAGAATATGTAGCCACACATATTCCCCAAAATCCCTTTGGTTATTTGGAAGGTTTCAACCTCCACTACTATACAACTGCACTGTGTAGTCAGATATTTGTTGTGCTCTGTAAATGCTCAGTCTAATTGTGTTCTTGCATTAGTGGCAATTCTGGGGTTAGAAACATTGCAAGAATTTCTGTGCAAGTAATTTAGTAGCTCTTCAGCACTGTAATGTTCCGGGCTGCCACATTTAGGATAGCTAAATAGAGAGGGTGATTTGAAAGAAATACCCTTCAAAATATGGATCAAAATTGCATCTATATTTATCTAAGACAGGCACTGGAGTTTGTTTATAAAGCAAAATTAATATGAATCCTCAGAATGAAAAGCATCACATTTATAGATATTAGAAAAATGGACTAATTCAAGACTGGCCTTCAGAGCTATGTTTTTCATAAATATTTCTCAATGAGTTGTCTGGGCTTGTGGCTAACTTTAAGATTGAGAATACACTCTTGAAGTTGACCCATTTTCCTTGTGCCCTTGGATGTTGTAGGTACAGACACAAACTGACACATCCCTCCAGCTCCTTAAATTTTTTCCCCTTTCTCTCTCTCCTGTGGCCATGGAATGGTTTAATGGGTGCAGATTGTGTGCACAGAACCTTCATGTGAGGCCATAAGAGGAGTAGGTGACATGGGAGGTGTGTTCTGATGAATAAAAAGCAGCAATCAGGTAACTGTCAGCAGCAGCTGCCATTGGGAATTTCATTCTGGAGATGTCAAGGTCTCCTGTGAATTTGTTTCCTTGCTGCTTCCTAAAATGCAAATCCTTCTAAGGGTGAAGGGCTACTGGAATTCCAGTTAATGTTCTGGGGGAGAATTTTGAGGGGTAAGACTTGACATAGGGGTTTGGTTAGATATGGGACAGAGGATTGGGAGAGATGAGCCAGTGCTCTCTCCTGCAGGGATATAGAATATCCTGCTTCTGTCAGCACAGTGCTCCCCAGGGTGTTGTCCCTCACCCAAGAACGTGCCAGCTGCTTGGCCCCTGGTGCCACTTCAGCCCTGATCCATGGAGATGTGCCCGGCCAAAGCACTGAGCTCAGCCCCACGAGGGTTGTGCTGAGGTGCCCAGTGCTGCTCCATGTGCTGGGTCATCACACCCTGGCTGATCTGAGCTGCTCATTCAACACAACAGCTTCTCTGATGGCACAGCAACACGGATAAAACTGAAGTCAGGGATCACCATCCAGCACCACACCTGAAGGACAGGGGTGGAATGGTCCCACTGACCTGCACCACTTTTTCCTGTTTTGTCACCTGCACACAGAAACCACCTGCAAGATCCAGATGTGGCCAGGCTGCTAATGGGACCTGTTGGTGTTTGAATTTGAGGTTGCCAAGATAAACATCTGGAAAGGCTTTGGATATCTGCTGTCCCTGGAGTAGGGGACACAATTCCCAAGCCCTTTGGAAGCCAGCCACATGAGGAAAAGGGCTCTGGGAATGTGCAGCCCTTGCCAGGTCGTCAGAAACTTTAGGTCATGGTTGGACTGTTTGCAGATTTCAGGGAAATGTAGCTGATTCTGGTGTTTATTAAGACTTTAACTTTTTATAGATACATACATATATAGACATACATAAAAATTTACATTTCAAAATACACTTAAAATATACTTATAGGGCTGTCTGTGTTTGAATCTTGTGTCTGGCCAAGATTAAAAAAAAAGCCCAAATCTGGAGTGAAGCTTTCTGAAATCCCATGTAGATTTTTGGTGTCTAATAAGAACCAGGGTCATGGTACAGTTTAACCCAGGCACTGTGTGAGTTATTTGCTTTTCTCCCCACTACCAAAAGCCCATTTTTGTGAAAGCTATGGGACACTGATGGCTTTAAAGAGACTGAAATCAGCCAAGAGGTTCAGAGCTCCTGGTGTGGCTGTGCAGACACAGTGACATTCTGATATATCTCTGTGTGTCCAAGCTGGATATGCTCTGTGTGCTGCTGTCACCAGGAGAGAGCTCAGAGCCCTTTAGAGGAGCAGAATGCTCTGGCTGAAGCAGTGAGTGAGGCTGTGGAAGGCATAGCATGAAGGAACTCATTGTTCTGCAACGTAAGCTATGAGTAAACATGTAGTTATTTGGCTTTGCCCTGTGAGTTGTGCATGCTGCAAGGAAGACCTCATTTTTTGGATACTTTTGTGTATTTGACTGTGAATCAAACCCCTGAGTCAAATCTTATTGCAGAAAAACTGCTCACTGAATCATGCTGCATACCCATAGTCCAGCCCAAAGCCTGACTTTGCTGTACAAATAACTGCTTATATGTATGGAGAGGGAAAAACATCACTTGCAATCAGTGCAGCCTAAAACCAACTTATTTTTGATACTGCAATTTGTTCTCTAGGGTGTTGAGGAAAACAGTGGTGTCAATTAACCACGAGGAAACAATTAGACCAGTCAGTGATCACAAGACCGCAGAAGAGGGGAAAAGAAATGCAGAAGTGCAGATAAAATGAAATGGGTGATAGGGAGCAGCACAACTCTTCCCTGTGGCAGGGCAAGTGCAGTGGAAAGGGGCCTGGACCAGGACTGAAGGAGCATCCATGGGATTGTGGCTGGGAAAGGGGCTTGGGAGAGCCACCGTGGTGCTGGCTTTTGTCTGCTGCCTCTGTAGCAAAGCTCCTGTGGCCGAGTGTGATTCATGAGTTAATATAGTAATATTCATTAATATAGGAGTTATATATTAATTATATAAAATATCTTATTTATTGTTATTAATATTATATATTAATATATTATTATAGTATATTATATATATTAATTAATATAGGAATTTTTTTACCCCTCTATGTGATTTTCTTTGCTTTTCTTCTCCAGCAGAACCCATCAGACACTACTGCTGGCACCACAAGGCAGCACTCTGTTTTTGCTGGCCTGTCCTGCACATGGTGCTGTGCATCATTTAAGTGTCCCTGGCCACTCACAGCGAGTTCCACCCTGCCTGTCATCGCAGTATCTGGGTGACAGCAGGGGACTGTAGGGCAGGGAAGCGATTTGAGCTGTTTGCATTATTTACATGGTTGTTTGTATTATTTACATTCATCACTAATTATATGGGAGCCTTGAGACAGGCTGGAAGGGGAAGCGTGTCACTGCTGGGGATGGGATGTTGCTGCTGGGCTGGAGGGCGCTGGGAGCTGAAGCTTTTGCATTGGAAGCAGCTGTGCACCATCCCATCCTGCTGCTGGGGTGAAGCAGGGGCTGCTCCCACCCCTTGGGAGTGTTTGGGGGTGAAGGCTGCAGGGATGTAATCTCTATTGATGCCACAATTTAGTCCTTCCCAACCTATGAAGTTACCCAGGCAGTATCACCTGCTGTGCAGAGGTGATGAATTGTATTCCTGGGGGCTGCAGAGGAGACAGTGGTTTTTATATTAGGACAAATAAAAATGCAGCCAACAAAGGATTATTGGGGCTCTGTCCCCCACTTATCACACCCTGATTATATGAGGTGTCTGTCCCACTACCCTCATGAATCACCAGCACTCGGGAGGCAGAGAAGTGGGCTCCCTATCCTAAACAGAGATTTATTTGTTCCACATCCAGTGCTTTTAAATTATTTTTACAGAACTTAAGATGCGTGTGAGCCCATGGCAGCCTGGCTGGCAGCTCTGTGTGCTGCTGTGCCCCCTTGCCCGGGCTGTGTTGGATCTGGGGTGTGCTGGTGGCCTGGGGATGTGCAGCCCTGCTGCAGGGGGTTTTGCAGAGCCCACGTTCAGTGAGGTGCATGCCCTGGGCCGTGCTGGCCAGGCAGGCCTTGGCTGTGCTCACACCCTGCGTGCCCTGATGCACGGCCGCCGGCGCCTCCAGCCGCTCCCTGCAGCCTCTGGCTCCTCTCCAGGGCTGCTTTATGGCCCTGCCCTGGCACACAGCCTCAGCTGGGCAGGAATGGCAGCATGACAGGGATATGGCAGTGCCTGCTCGCCCCTGCCTTGGCTGGGCAGCTCTGTGTTGGTTCATCCAGGCAGGGTTGGCAGCTCTGGTCACAGGGGCAGTGTTGGTGCTGTACAGGCTGAAACCAGGGAGCAGAGAGCAGCCTGCAGAGCTGAACCCTGCACTGAGGGTGGCACTCCATCCCTGCTCCCTGGAGACCCATGGGTGGCTCTCCCACCCAGCTGCTTCTGGTGCTGTTGAGGGGGACAGAGGGGGATTTGCTGGAGTGCAGCAGCTGCTCTGACCTGACCCCCGAGGAGTGAGTGAACCCCCTTAACCTGCAAGATTTTCCAGAGTTCCTTTTCCAGGGAATTAACATGGAGGCATTACCAGCTGCAGCCTGATACGTGTGAAGTTGTTCCCATCCTAGGAGAAGGTCTCCAATGTCACCCTGATCATGTGTCAGCCCTGCTCGCTGGCTGGGCTGCTGGGGTGGAGCACTGACCTCACCAGGGAGGGACATGGGGGCACTCTGGGGTCTCTAGAACTCCAGTTTGCACTAGGAAGACTCATCACCGTTTTATGGAGAGGGATTTGGGAGCATGGTGAGGAACATGCCCAGATGCCTGGCATCTCCCGTGATGGTCCTTGACTCCTGACTCATGCCCAAACCCATGCTTATTTCTCCTTATTTTTCCCTAGAAGAGCTTCAAACTCATCCAAGAAAATGGAAAATGGCCCCTTGCTCTGGCAGATGGCTCCCCATGGCTGGCTGCAGCCTGCAAATGCCATTTACTACCTGAACCCCCACATTTTTGTAGGGGAGACCAACTGTTTACCGGGACCCCATAATCCCCCGTGTCACAGGGTGGGCAGGGGCTGGCTGGGGGCAGCGCACCCAGGGCAGCAGCTGCTGCTCACTCGGGCACTTCTTGTCTTTCCTGGCCCTCAGCACTGTAAGTTAACACTCCACAGGCAGGTCCAAAGAGGATTTCAACGAAACCTGAAGCTTGGGGGGAGAGATTATGCTGCAGAAGTGGCCTGGGAGACTGTAAAATATGCACTCCCACGATTGCCAAAGAAGGAACTGGATTTGCTCCTTGGGGAGCAGGGTCATCCCTGGGCTCAGTAATAGTGTCTGAGGGGGGAGATTCATGCCTTGAAGATGGGTCACCCCCTTCTATCTCAGCCCAGCCCTGGTTGAGCCTCCCCAGGACCGTGGGAGTGCCTGCTCTCCCAAAATCATGTGTGTTCTGGTGGGTCACTGCTTTTTGCAAACCAGGTTTAGGACAGATGTCTGCGAAAATATCCCCAGCACAGCTGACCCTTCACTTACATGAAGCAGCACCTGAGAGAGTAAAGGAATAGAGTGGCCTTTCCAAAGGCATTTGTGCTCCCCCATCACCCTCTGCCTGTGCCCCAGACTGAGGGAGCTGCTGGCAGCCTCTGTTCCACAGGGGGCTGCTCTGGGGTGGCCCATTCCAGGTCCTGTAATGCCAGGAGCAGAGTGGAATGCTGCCTTTGTTTTGGGTGGTTTGCTGGTTTCTGAGGCAACTGCATCTATAGACTGATGAGAGTCAGGATGGGAAGCCATCCCATCCCATCCCATCCCATCCCATCCCATCCCATCCCATCCCATCCCATCCCATCCCATCCCATCCCA